ATGATTTAAAAAACCTTTAGATTTAGACATTATAAATCTTATTAAAACAAACACTTATTTTGCTCAGAGAATCCAAAAATGCAATAATATATAGGATATTTCATTTGGAAAAACACAACTTTGATACTTCTAGGGCTTTTGGGACACTCTGAACATTACAAAAATATTTTTAAAATGTGCACCCGTTAGGCGTCTGTGGATTCATCAAGTAATACTTTGCAAAAAACAAACGGGCTAGCCGCAAACGTCCGTGCCGTATAGCGTGAATAACCCTGTATAATATCAGAGTGGGTTTTTTGATCAACACAGATACGTTAATGGCCAGCGGCAAGGATATAAGATAAAGAAAGTTTTCGGCAACCGGATACAAGATCGGCAAATTTAAATGAATTTTCCTGCGTTTTCAACGCCAGTTTTGTCATTGTTTGGTTGTTGGAAAGTAAAACTTTGCGCAATCCGTTTAGGAAGATTAACATCCAAAGCAAACGGGTCCCCCGTAAGTTTGTTATGGAATTGTTATAAAATGTCCATATCGCGGCTGTACAAACTGACCCAAACCGATCGGTGACCGACTTTTTAAAAATCGTCACTGATAGGACGATATTTACATTATTATTAGCAATCGGGCTGCGTTACTGTTCTTCATAAGTCTTCCAGCACTTTCACGATTTTAATTTATACACTGAGCGTTTACGTGTGGAATTAAACGGATTTGTGTCCGAACGAGGAACTTACCAGTCGAGATGCGTGTTTAATCGCATTTTATAGCGCAAGTATTTGAGAGAAACTACGGTATTTAGTACAAAACGCTCGTTTTCATAGTTTAACGTATTTATTTAAAACTCGCCAATTGGTAACATGAAAGACATTTTGAAAACATACATAATTTGTCTTGTCGAGTAAGTATCAATTCTACGTTGCAAACGAATCGGGAACTAAGGACTCGTGAATGAGATACTGCAATATTTACAATAAGGGTCTTAACTGTATTATTTCGTTACTGCCAATGGGCGCTAGGGAGAAGAAAATGCCAAGAGATTCTGATTAACTCACAGCATCTATTAGATAGGATTAGGAATGGTTCAAATATTTAAACAATAGCAGTGAAATGAAACCGAAAGCCGGTGAAAATGTTGCAGAACTGCACTTGTGAAAGGCCTCGGGATCTTTCAAGTTGAAACGTAACCGTGAAGAAATTCACATCAAAATTGCTTGAAAACATTTAAAACCTGCACCGGAAAAGTGTGAAAAAAATATGTTGTACACATTTCTGCCTCCATGGATTAAAACCATCAAAAACTCAACCGAGAAAACCTGCTTCTTTAGGCCGTTTTGTGTGCTATTTTTCATGACTAACAAGTGCAGTTTCAACAAAACATTTGGCATTTTCTCACGCAGTCAAAGGCATATGAAGTACTATTCTAGAAATATACATTGTGCGAAAGAACGGCCAACTGTTGAGGCCAATGTTAAAGCTATGACTCGGCAGTCAGATGGTCCAGATTTGAACCTTTTCGGCGATGATGCACCAGCTGGCATGTTGGTAAGTCGAAGAAACCACATGCAGATCGCCTACGTATTTCTCAATCAGCTTCTCGAGCTCACCTTGCCGGAACACGTGGTAATATCTTGCAACCACAAAAATCATCAGTGAATATCACACGAATGCTTACCGAAGGTCGATTTACCTATGATAAGTAATTTCTCCTCCAATCTCATCGGCAGGCCAGGAATCGGCTGAAATATCACTCAGTCCGGAAGGATCCCGTCGTCTCAAATGTCCAGGCGACAAAGTGTCCATATGGTCGAATTTTCCTTTGCCTTTGGATTCTGTTGAGGTCAATGAGGCGGTGCTTCCTCCATTGCTACAGCCATCTCTAGAGTCTCCCGTGAGATCTGTTACTGATGAGGCCACGGACTGGCCTCCAAAGTTGATTGAAGTTGCCCCGCTTGATAGGAGGGAGTTACTACTGCTACCTGGAAAATCATAAAAAATGCAGATTTTAGTGGGAAATTGGATTTAAAGAGGAGAAAAGACTTGATGATTTTTTAGTATGGGTTCACTTGGTGATGAGTACAGTTCAAAATATATGGAAAAAGTTAATAAGAGAACGACGAATTTTTCATAACGAATGCAATAGAAAAAGGATCGTTTTGAAGATGCGTTAGAAATTTTGAAGTAAAAACGTATTTTAACGAAGAAAGTCAGTGGGCAAAAAGATAAAATTGAAGCTAAAAATTGTTAAAGTTCAAGCATAGAGGTCTGAATCAATGGAAATACAAACGGTTCAAATGTCTTTGGCCTTTTCATCTACGTTTTGCCTACAGTTCAAACTACATGAAAACATTATTAAAAGAACAACTATTTCGGAGCGAAGAATTTTTAGTAGGAAATACGAAAGTGGAAGAAACACTTTAAACATGTGTTCAAAGCTTTGGTGTTAAAACGCATTTTCCAAAAAAAGTCGCTGAACAAGAAAAAAAGCAAACAGCGAAAATTGAAGCTAAAAATTGTAAAAATTTAAACACATCTATCAGATTTGCGTTTAAATTTTAACAATTTTTAGCTTCCATTTTCGCTGTTTGCTTCTTTTGTTGTTCAGCGACTCTATCATTGTATCACAATGATAATTTAAAATGTGCAGAGGTTTTTAGTTTTTTAGTAACAATTTAATAAAATAACCACACTTTATGAACGAAGACTGTTTAGTTGGAAATGCAAAAGTTTTTTTCACAGATTTTTCAAAAGCAAGTCGCTGAACAACAAAAAAAGAAAACATAGAAAATTGAAACCAAATAGAGTTAAAATGTAAGCAAACACAGCTGAGACAGAGGGAAATGATACAAAATTCCGGTTTTAGTGGGAAAGATCCGAAGTAAAATTGGTTTTAAAGAAGAGAAAAAGCTAGATGATTATTTAGTATGGGTTCACTTGGTGATGAGTAGGTACAGTTCAAAATAAATGGAAAAAGTTATTAAAAGAACAACTAATTTTAGTATGAAGGATTTTTAATAACGATTGCAATGGCAAAATGGTCGTTTTGAAAATTTATTAGAAGCTTTGAAGTAAAAAGGTATTTTAACGCCAAAATTCGGTGTGCAAAAAGAGAAAATTGAAGCTGAAAATTACTAAAATTTAAATAGAAATGTCTGAGTCAATGGAAATACAAAAGGTTTAAATGTTTTTGGACTTTTCATCTACGTCTTGCGTACAGTTCAAACTACATGGAAGCATTATTAAAAGAACAACTATTTTGGAACGAAGTGTGTTTAGTAGCAAATGCAAAAGGTGAAAGAATACTTCCAAAATTGGTTCAAAGTTTTGGTGTTAAAACGCATTTTTCAGGAAAAGTTGCTGAACAACAAAAGAAGCAAACAGCGAAAATGAAAGCTAAAAATTGTTAAAATTTAAACGCAAATCTGATACAATAACAATTTCAAATGTGCAAAGGTTTTTAGTTATTTTGAAAAACACTTGGCTATGAATATAGTTCAAAATACATGAAAAATTTTATAAAAAAAACAAGCTTTCGGAACGAAGAATGTCTAGTTGGAAATGCGAAAGTTGAAGAAACACTTCAAAAATTGGTTCAAAATTTTGAAGTGCAACCAGATTTTTCCTAAGCAAGTCGCTGAACAACAAAAAAAGGAAACTTAGAAAATTGAAACCAAATAGAGTTAAAATTTAAGCAAACACAGCTGAGACAGTGGGAATTTATACAAAATTCCGGTTTTAGTGGGAAGAAGCCGAAGTAAAATTGGTTTTAAAGAGGAGAAAGAGCTAGATGATTATTTAGTATGGGTTCACTTGGTGATGAGTAGGTACAGTTCAAAATATATGGAAATGTTTAATAAATACTTCAAAAATTGGTTCAAAGTTTTGGTGTTAAAACGCATTTTTCAGAAAAAGTTGCTGAACAACAAAAGAAGCAAACAGCGAAAATGGAAGCAAAAAATTGTTAAAATTTAAACGTAAATCTTATACAATAACAATTTCAAATGTGCAAAGGTTTTTAGTTATTTTGTCGCTGAACAACAAAAAAAGAAAACATTGAAACCAAATAGAGTTAAAATATAAGCAAACACAGCTGAGACAGAGGGAAATTATACAAAATTCCGGTTTTAGTGGGAAAGATCCGAAGTAAAATTGGTTTTAAAGAGGAGAAAGAGCTAGATTATTATTTAGAATGGGTTCACTTGGTGATGAGTAGGTATAGTTCAAAATACATACAAGTCGCTGAACAACAAAAGAAGCAAACAGCGAAAATTGAAGCTAAAAATTGCTAAAACTTAAACGCAAATCTGATACAATAACAATTTCAAATGTGCAAAGGTTTTTAGTTACTTTGAAAAACACTTGGCTATGAATATAGTTCAACACACATGAAAAATTTTATAAAAAAACCACGCTTTCGGAACGAAGAATGTCTATTTGGAAGTGCGAAAGTTGAAGAAACACTTCAAAAATTGGTTCAAAATTTTGAAGTGCAAACAGATTTTTCCAAAGTAAGTCGCTGAACAACAAAAGACGAAAACATCGAAAAGTGAAACCAAATAGAGTTAAAATTTAAGCAAACACAGCTGAGACAGTGGGAAGTTATACAAAATTCCGGTTTTAATGGGAAAAAGCCGAAGTAAAATTGGTTTTAAAGCGGAGAAAAAGCTTGATGATTATTTAATATGGGTTCATTTGGTAATAAGTAGTTCAAAATATATGGAAAAAGTTAATAAGAGAACGACGAACTTTTAATAGCGAATGCGATGGAAAATGGATGGTTTTGAAAATTCGTTAGACGTTTTGAAGAAAAACGCATTTTAACGAAAAAAGTCGGTAAGCAAAAAGAGAAAATTGCTAAAAATTGCTTAAATTTAAGCAAAGAAGTCTTAGTCTATGGAAATACAAAAGGTTGAAATGTTTTTGGCCTTTTCCATCTACCTTTTGCGTACAATTCAAACTACATGGAAACATTATTAAAAGAAGAACTATTTCGGTACGAAGAATGTTTAGTAGGAAATGCCAACACTTTAAAAATTGGTTCAAAGTTTTGATGTAAATTTTTCCAAACCAAATAAAATTAGCATTTGAACAAACACAGCTGAGACAGTGGAAGTTCCAAATGTGTAAATGAAAGTGGTTTTAGAAAGACGCGTAGATTCCTAAAAACACAAAAGGAATTATGGCCGGCTAGAATATAATAGAAAAAAACCCTCGATCGAAGCACGACAAAAAAACAGACAGATTAACTATGAAAGCAATGAAAGAACCCAGAAAGTCACAAGCAAAAGACGACAATTGATGAAATTGTTTGAAAGATTAGATCAGATGCTACTTTCACCATCAGCCAGAAGAGAACGAGGGCAGATAAAGAAGAGAAAATAAATATCTCAAAAAACAGAAAGCAAAGAATTATTTTTAAAATCTGAAAAAAAACGTTGTAGTAGGTACAAAATTACTATATCTTATTACTAGATAAAATACTATATCTAATTTTGAACTGAATGGGACAAATCCAGGAAAATTTCAGCGGGAATTTTCCTACTTAAACCCAGAGATTTTAATCCATAACTCAAAATAACTTAATTAGAAAAATTTTAAAAAATAATTTTACCTTTATCACTAGAATCGAACGATTCTGAAGAACTGCCATTGGCAATAAGCGGGCGATTCTGCTCACGTTTAACATCAGGTCCATTAAATTGGTCCACTTCGGCACAATAACCCAAACCACCATTTTCCACTCGTTTTCCACAATAGTCTTCGTCGAATTTCGCGTCATTGTTCCCATTTACACCGGAACCGTTAAACCTAATCGATTTACTAAAACTATTTAAAACTGGATTTACACTATTATTTACACAAGGCAACGCTTTGTGGTTTTGGCTGAGGGGTTTGGTCGCGTTACACATTGAAACGTAGTTTTTGGTCCGATCTGATGTTCGAGTTTCAATCACGCAACGACACTTTTCGAGTGATTTGCATTTGGTGCAACTTTTCTTCACTTGCGGATGGTTCGTTTGCGACAGTCGTGTAAGGTACTCGTTCTGCTTCTTAATCTCCTCGCTGAGGATTGAGAGGTCGTGCAGTTCTTCGCTGAGACGATGGATGTATGGATCGTCAATGTTATCCATCTGGAAGATCGAAGAATGAATGAGACGAATATCAGCAGGAACAGTAAAAAACTTTAATAGCCGAGTAGCAAAAAAGGAATTTAGAAGCGGAATATTTTAAACTACCGTCAGTTGATATTCATCCAGTTCCTTCATCAGCTTCTCGCTGAGCTTATCCGCAAAAGCTGTTAAGTGCTTATGGCATTCCTCATTCCAGGTATTGCTGGATCGGCGAGATTCTCCATTACTCAAGCCTTCTTCTTCTTCTTCGTCCAACAGGGGGGTTGTGTCCGACGAGGAGAATCTGGAAATGGAAATCTTGATGTTGAATCAAGAACCAGTTAGATCCTCAACCATTACCGTCTATGTAAAATGGAAAAAACATCAACTTTCGGCAGCTTCTTTGTCGGCCGGGAGCTGATTACTTTTTCCACTGCTTCATCCAGGCTGCTGGCAACATTTGCTGCCGCTTCCAATAAACTCATCGAGTTGCCTAGAAGTAAATTGAATTAAGCTTCATTAACACCATAAAGCCTCTTGAGGACCTTACCAGTTCTATTAGTGTCTGGAAAATTAAATTTGTCGGCCTTTGCAGGAACACCACCAGATGCCTTAATGCTGTTGACACTCCCTATGGAATCCGGCGAAGAAACGCAACTGTTATCACTGTCGTCATCCACTTCCGGATTGAAAATGTCCAGCTTCAGCAGTTGAGGAATGGGTTTGGCTAAGCTTTGCTCCTAAAATATCAGTCCGTTACCAACAGAGCTCCTCCAAGCCAGGCTCATTAACCTTTTTATCTGGATCGGATATCTTCCGCACAATCGGGCAATGGCTCTTGGACTTGCTTCCAAACCCAGGCTTCTGCGCCAGCATTTCCCTGATTTTCTTCAGTTTTTCCGTTCTAGACGCCTCAGCGTCTGGAGGCGATTTAGCTGGACTTATCATGTTGGCAGTTGGCACTGCTTCCGTTAGCACCGAGCTTTGATTGCTCGTTTGGGGAGGAAATGGGAAACATTCTATAAATAAGGTTTCAATATTCAGAAACGTTTTAGAATGATTGTGCAAATACCTTTCAGACTTGGGGAGTTAAGAGTGGTTCTCCTAAATTGCGGAATGGGTTGTACGGAGTAATTTTGAGCCAGAAGTTGAGTGTTTTGTCTGTGTGCAGGTTGAACTGGCAAAAGTTTGGGGGCCGGCGCTCTTAGCCTGGCGTTAGCCAGCAATTTATCGTCCACCGGAAAGAACTCAGTCACAGTCGAAAGCAGCTCAGTCGATGGCTAAAACAGTATCAGCAATCATTGAAGCCACTCGCACAGCTCCTGCAACTCACCTTGGGTGAGCTGAGTTGTTTGGTCAAGGGATGAATCCCATTGTGCAATTGTTTCACCCTTGGGCTTGTTGGGCAACTTGACTGCTTAATTCTGGGGGATTGGGGGGCGGATTGGCAGCCCCCTCTTAGCAAAGGGGAGGTGGGACCTGCTGATAAACTCGCTCCTCCTATCGGAGACATCGGGTCTGATTTAGGCACGAAAATTACTGAAGCAAATGAGTCTTCTGAGTCCACGCTAGTATCGGACTGAAGGCTGCTATCTTTGGAGGAGTCAGAGCCATCCTCCTTTGAATGTCGCCTAGAAGATAATACGTAATGAAGCGGATAAAGGGTGTGATCAGGATGAAACTCCGGACCTTTCCCCCGACTTTTCGCTGGGTTCTTTATCAGCTGGGTGGCAATTTTGGACGTTTTTGTAGGATTCGTTATCTCGTGTCGTGGGCGACTTCAGTTCGGCTCCTTTCCAAGTTTGGAAGATTTTGACAAAACCTGCATTAACTGTTACAATCAGCATAAAATTTAGTGCAAACGCAGCCAAATGTACCATTTTTCAAAGACGCGCTGGCCACTTTTTCCATCGTAGTGGAATTCTTGATTCGATTGGTCAATCCGTCCTTAAGCATTTGGAAACTTTTTGTAGACGCGACCGCAAAAAACGACTCCCGCAAAGACTCAAAGGTATGCGCTCGCTTATAAATCAGGTCCTCGTTCAAGGAAGTTTGTTTCTGGATATTTTGTTTAAGTCTTTCTTTCTCTCTCAATCTGTCAGTTGATAGGATTTCTTCGTTTAGGGAGCGCTGCTTTAACACGCCGCCTCTTTGATGCCTGCAACAATTAATTTACCTTGTTTTAACAAATTGTGGACTACTTTCACAGTTGAGACAAAATATTTCTCGCCTAAGGAATATAAAAACACTAATCTTTATGGCTTTTTTGGTGATTAATCTTCAATCTTGTACCTGGTAAGTCCCGATTTAAAATCAGGCATCGCCCTGACCAGGTCCTTCATATCAGTCGGTTGATCCAATGCTTCGTCAGCATCTTCTTCGCAAAGCGACTTCTTCTGCTTCACCAGTTTCGGTTTTTTTAACGAATTTGCCGACGCGGGTGTTACGGGGCTTTCCACAGCACCTTTTATTGAATCATCCACATGGGCTTTGCTTAATCTACACCTGAAAGTGGTTCAAATTGGAGATCATGCCGTTTCCAGATCCCCCCAGGAAGAATAGTAAGTCGCGCACCTGTTATTGTTTGTTTCGTTTAACATCCCAATATTATTCATGCTTTTCGACTTGAAAGCATCAATATCGGCGCTCATCTGAGACACTGGGCAAGTTTGACGTCGCGGGATTTGTTTCGGCTCTTCATCGTCTATTCTAAGTAGTTCTATTGGCTGATCTTCTACGTTATCACAGCCTGAGCAGTCGCAGTATTCGCATCCATCCGGATCATATCTAAAATTTCAACGAGCTGCAAATTCAGCGTTGCTGATCGTTGAGAAAAAGTACCTTTTCTGCAGCGGTTGCTGTTTGTGCATGCATGCAATCCAGTTATCCAAAAACCAGGAATTAGCCACCACTCGCCTGCTGCCGCCTGCGATTTTCTGCAATGCTCTACGCACGAAACCGTAGCAAGTTTCACTTGGCGATGACAAAGTGGAACTTCCTGAAGAAGTTTTCCGGTAGGCTTCGAGCGGGCGTTGTTTGCGTTGGTGGGAATTTCTCGTTTTTCTTTTAAACGTGTTTCTAAACCTGCAATTTAATTGCCGGGTTTACTCTGGTGCAAATCGCCAACAGTTAAACATTTTCTGCTGAAATTAATAATTCAAGTGCAATCCGAGGCACTGACCTAAATGATTTATTAGAATCGCTGTCCGACTGAGTATATGAGTGATAAGGGTTCTGAATATCATCCGCCGAGTTTAGGCCCGTAGTAATTCCGCAACTGGCCTTAAATCGAGGTCTGCGCCATGGCACCAGCACATCTTGGGATTCAAATTTCCTAAAAAAAATCGTTTTCTCTCCATTTTCAATGGAAAAATCCTCGAATTACCGATGATCCTGTTCCATCGCCCAGACAGTGATAATCATTCGGCCTCCTACTCGAAGAACTCGCGCCATTTCCCTCAACGAACTCACTCGTCTATCGGTCGTTGCGAAATGATGGATTACTGATAATGATAGAACCGTATCGAAGCAGTTATCTTTAAATGGCAGTGCCAAATTGTCTAATCTAATTACCTGAAATATACGAAAAAATTGGTAAATTCATTCGAGTCAAGGGCACTTTGGCATTCGAGGGAGGGGTTTGCACCATTGAACGTTTCACGAAAATTAATCTTATAACAAGAAAGTCGATTTTGCTCCATCCATTCAGGAGTCAGGTGTTCTGTTAAACCAATCAAATTTGGTCCACACTGTATAATTTGCGGTTTCAATTTGCGACACTCTGTATAAAATCAAGGCAGTTCAAAGAAAACTGGATGGCGACATTTAAAACACAATTTTTATTTGAAAAAATGTCCGACAAACAAAAGTTTGCACAATTTAATAAAGTATGACGCACATTCGCCTATAAGCCGCATTAAAACAGCCTTCTGCGGATAATCCATGTAAAATGCCGAATCCTTGAATGAAGGCAGTCTCTTTGGACAACTAATTAGCCTAGTTTGGCTTAATGTTTTAATACAGTTTCCGGCAAATCCTGTTATTAGCGGCACTTGCCATCAAACTGATATTGTGTAAACGCTTTTCCTTTTCGAAGGGTGAACGCTTGAGCGCATCTTTAGTCGCTCTTTGCATATCGTTTACTTTTACTTGTAAACAATCATTAAAGCAGACGAATGTGCTGACTGAAATTCTTTGCGTTCGCCTTGCCCCATTTTCCGATGGTCAAAGAGAGTAAACATCAACTGCAGGGTTGTTTTGTTTGCCCCGGAGTCTGCATCGTTTCACATTCATTCGAATGGAACCAGACACGTTTGTAATTAATTAATTTTAAATGGAAATGCTTGACCAGCATGGTACTTACTTCGTTTTGTTTTTGCCTAGCTAAATCGCTCAGTCTATTTGATTTCTCCCCTCCTAAATTATAAATTGACTTATTAACTTTTAAGTATTTTCCATTGCCACAGCCTGGAAAACAAAACGCCTGGTCATCATCAGGTTGGCCTCGAAACTGCACCGATCCTTACCTACGTCACAGACTAAAGCTCCAGGTTCCAGTTTTTCCAGGAATTCCTGGACTTTCGGCCAAGGCTTGCTACGGGGATTGTCGTAGTACTGCTCGTAGACCTCATGGACATACGTCTGTTCTAAGGCGAAGCTTCGAGACACGCGCTCACTTGCAGCCATCTCCGACGTTTGGCTGCAGCGCTAATTAACTAAAAAACCCAGTTTAATTAAAATGAACCGTCCCTAAATGAATCTTGCAGCTGGTAAATGCGTAGTGGGCCACGATAATCACGAGGGTTGCAAAGAGGAAACTGGGCACATCAGGCGAGGCTCAAGGCTTGATGGAGATGAGCCTCGCCTGTTACTGTTTTATTCTCTCAACTCAAAAAATGTTTTTGCGATCTTGTATTGGTGAAATCAATGATGGAATTGTTGTCTACCTGTCTGTTGTTTTGGTTAGTAGTTCGGATGCGGTTGGTTGAAAGCCACTGGAAATCCGATTGTAAGTCTATTCATTTAAGAAGGATGCATGTTATCAACGACAGTTGAACTGTATTTTCAATTAAAAAAGTTGTGCATAGTAAAGAAATCAATTGAATGAAAGCCCCTGTAGAATAATAACGCGAATCTAGCTAGTTCATCGAACTGGGTGATCGATTGAAAAATTGTGCCGGTATTCATTTTCGCCGTACGTGAAATTGCATCGTCGATAATAATATCTAGGGGATATTTTCCGACCCAATTTTATCGAAAAATGATATTGCGGAGGCAGGAAGTTTATCCTGCAGAAGGCGGGCAGGGTTGTGATTCCGCCGCTTTAATAGGCGTATTCGGTTTCATTAAATTTTAAGCCGTTATTAGCTTTTAGAATTTCACGTGGGCTGCGATGACAAAAAGAGAACTGTTTTCCTCATTCGTGCTTCATTTACTTCGTGCAAGTAGGCGTTTGTTGAATGGGTACTAATTATTGCGCGAAACACAGACGAAAAACGGCAATAATCAGGATCTAACAACATCCAGGAGCAAATTAGACAAACGCGATCTAACTGTCGCAATAATCGGCACACATTTCGAGCCCAGTTTATCAAAACGCCATGAAACTCTTAAAAGCTTAAAATAGAACGGGGTATGGATTATCTCGGGGTTGAGATGGCTTTTGTGAATGAATTCGGCAACAGAGAACCAAAAGGGAAAGAGACAGAAGCGCAGCGATCAATAGAACATACTGTGCCAAGATTTTAAAAGATCGCGACTTCGGCTTTTTTTTTGTGTTGGCGAGTCGAAGACGTAGACCGCAAGGTTCCATACACTATTCATAAAACACTATTTTCCTCGACAACTCGCTTTTAGCAAACTTGTATCTGGTTTTAAGAAATCAGTTTAAATATCTTTTCTAAAACTCTAGTGCTTGTATGCTTTTCTGCAATGAGGAAAAACTTTTCCTCGGCGGCCTAAAAGCGCCCGAAAACTCACCAGTTTCATATTTCATTTTAATTTGCTCTAAATATCGGAAAATGGGCTCAAACTGTGGGCTGAAAGGGTCGAAGTGGAAAACAGTAGAAACAATTCGCTTCAATGTTCTCCAAGTTTCTTACATTTTTCTGTTATAAAAAAGTGTAGCCTCATACATTTGCTTCATTCTATTTAAATATCTTTCATGAAACTCTAGTGCTTGTATGGTTTTTTTATAATCAGGAACAAAGAGAATGAAGCAAATGTATGAGGCTACACTTTAGTATAACAGAAAAATGTAAGAAACTTGCAGAACATTGAAACTAATTATTTCTAGTGCTTTCCACTCTGACCCATTTTAGCCCACAGTTTGAGCCCATTTTCCGATATTTAGAGCAAATTAAAATAAAATCTGAAACTGATGCGTTTTCGGGCGCTTTTAGACCGTCGAGGAAAAGTATTTCTCTCTGACATTTCCCAAGCCGCAGCAAGCCGACAAACCAAGAAATAACACAAAATACATAAATTAAATACCTTGATCAGCATACTTTTAAGGAGCGTGTCTGGACCATTTAAAAAATACCTTCTGTAACGTTGCTTTTTCGACACTTCATTGGATTAATTGTTTTTTCCTATGATATTTATATGTAACTTTGAAACGTCGATTTTCACTAGAACACCAATTTTTATTTGCCTTTCAAAAATAACGTGCTCGTGGACTAATAAGAGATGAACAGTCGAAAGTTGGAGAAAACCCCAACGTGTTTTCTATATCAAGTGAATAACAAGCGCTACATGGAAGGAAAGAACGTAAACATTTTAGGCAAAACTTTGCAATCGTTGGCAAGAAATCAAATATAAAGGAGCCAGACAAGAAGTTTTATGCTGCACGTAAGAGCCATACTTTGTGTAACAGATTGGCTCCTGGTGGGCTGAAAAATCGATGGCTCCCAAGAAAGACATTGGATAAAGTGATGACAAATATAAATCATCCTAATATGCGACATGAGTCTTTCATATAGATAGGGCCTTGATGAAAATTGGTCAATTTTTCCGCTGGGATTTTCCGCTTTCCCCGGCTCCCATGAATAGTACAGGCACAAATATTTTCTTGGCATGTCAAATCCAATCTAAGATAAGAACTGGTGCTGATTGGCCATTACATTTTATTATTCGTGTTAGCAACGATTACAGGAACAGTTTTATATTCGTTTTAACGAAATTATCGTTTGATAACAGTGTTGGTGGAAATCGTAAACATTGTCGAGTGTCGCCCACAGCTAACGAACTATTTGTTTTGATCGAGATTAGTTGTGTGTAGGGCGCAATTTATGCACGCTTTTCCGTTCCATTTCCTCCCTCCATTCTGGAAATTAATAGTTTCCAGTTATTCTCAATATTTGCATGGTTTTTTCACATTTGCCTCTCTATTTCCAATCATGGCTCTCTAACAACAATTCGCAATTAAGTGCATAAGGGGAACATGTACTGCTGATCAAAAATATTCAAAAATTACAAAACCGTTTACTTAAGTTTGGAAGTGAGTTCGGATTTTTGTTATTAAACAGTGATGAACCAGATATGTAGAAGTACATTTAGAAATGTTTTCCGGGCTTTGAAGCCGTGGTCTATCGGAATTTCTTCCTGACGTTTCGTCCACAACTGCGGTGGACATTTTCAAAGGCGATGAGGCAGTGNGCGAAGTGATCTCCCGTGCTTTCCGACTAAGAATGATTCAACTGCTGGATTCCCAGTCGTATTTATGCCGCCCAGCCGTGTCTGCTCATGCGTGGGGGATGGGTGGGGGTTCCAACGCTTCGGCGCGCATGCTGTTTGGCGCAAAACGCGCTTCCAATCTGGATTGAGTGCCGTAATTTCTTCTTTTCTGTTGAAATTGCTTTGGTGTTTAAATATTTCGATGGCCTCCCTGGTGAGTCTCGGGTAGTATCTTTCAGATTGGTGCAGAATGTCAACTTCGTCGAAGCCTATTTGGTGGCCGTCTAGTAGTGCGTGCTCCGCTACTGCTGATTTTTCCGTTTGTCCCAATCTGCAACTTCGTTTGTGCTCCGTGATCCTAGTGTT